AACAAAGTCTCTTAATTTTACAGGAAGTATCTTCTTCCATACTGGTCTCCATCTCTTTGGCTTCTGCTTCATGTGGTGTTCATCTGCTTCATCAGGAAATGTCCTATCGTTGCTAACAGTCACTGTTTCCCTTCTCAAAACTGAGTAGAGTTTTTTCTTCCACAGTGGCTTTTTCAGGTGACATGTCTTCAGCAGCATCATTTGTTCTGTTGTTCACTTCTTCCCAACTGAAATGTCCTGGACCATGATAATGCCAAAGCCTGTTGGCATGCACCACCTTTGACTTACCTCGCCGACCACATTTTATCTGGAAAGTCATGTCTGTGAGATGATCCCCTATGTCATATGGGCCTTCCCATGGAGAAGACAACTTAGGAAACTTCCTTTTGGTCTTCCTGGGATTATACAACCACACCTTGTCTCCTGGTACAAAGCTGACTTCAGTAGACTTCTTATCATAACATAGCTTCATTGAATCAGCAGACATTTTCAAGTTTGAACACACTTGATGGTGAATATCATCCATCCTTTCCGATAACACTTTCACAAACTCTGACACATTCTCAGGCAACTCTTCATAAGGTGGGCGTCCTGTTAACAGATCCACTGGCAACCATAGTTCCCGACCAAACACCAACTTTGCTGGAGTGTATCCAGTGGCTTCATGCTCCGATTTAATATCTATACCTGGTTTCATTTCACCATCATCAACTCCTTCAGTCACTTTTACTTCAGCTTGATGACACCTAATTAGTTCAATCTCTTTTTTAACAGTTACCGGAACTTGGCCTTTGTTGTTCCCAAACGTCATTTTATCAGAATTAATCACAAACTTCCTCGGTAGTAAGTAGTCCAATCCTAATATGCATTCGTCTTCAATGTCAGCCAAGTATACTTTGTGTCTGTCCTTTATGCCCATGAGCTCAATAGTTACCCACACTGGTCCCCACAACCTTGCAGGATGTCTTGTCACACCACAGAGCTTCTGTATGGCTTCTGGTACTCCTTCATGATCTAACACCTTGATGCTCACAAGGGTTTGCTAAGATGCAGAATCTATGACAAAGTTGCACCTTTGGCCATCCAGCTTTCGTGTCACATAGACACTGTGTGTGCTTGGCATTTCACACCTAGCTGTTGGGACTTTCATGATGGGGGTTGGTGAGTGTCCCTCAACACCAACCACTACTGGTCTTCTTGAGGCTGACTTATTGGTAATATTCTTCTTACACTAGCTCCTCATATGTCCCTGCTTTCCACAGTTCCAACAACCTTTCTGGGTAGCAGCCTTTCCTGCTGTAGCATCTCCCCTGCATTGAAGTTGCCCAGGTTTGTTACAGTGCCAGCAAAGTCCCTCAAACCTCTCTGAAAGCTGACCTCTTCTGGCCTTGAATCCTGATGACTGTACCAACATTGGCA